CACAGTGTCCAAACTTCTCAAATTCCAACCCAATTGAGCATCTTTGGAACAGCATGAAAATGCCAGATTCATGGAGGCCCCACCTCCTATATCATGGAACCCAAAGGATCTGCTGCCAACGTTCTAGTGCCAGACACCACAGGACACCCACAGAGGTCCCATGTCCATGCTTCCATGGGTCAGAGCCTTTTTGGCAGCATGAGGTGGACCTATTGAGTATTAGGTATGTGGATTTAATGCTGTAGCTGTACATGTATTGGATAAATTGGATAGACAGGTGAAACATATCTACAGTGTGATGATGTGCACAGCTTTTAGTTCTATATTATCACATTAACGTTTATGCTTCTATATGGGAACACAGCATTTGTTGAAAAATGATTAAAAACAGGTCACCAACATGAAGGAACCACGACCCAAGGCCGTGATCGTAATCTTGTTTCTACCTGGCTTCCTAAATTATGGGAAAGCTGTAGGAGGCATAGGTCAGGCCTCACCCATCTCCCCACTGACTGCTGCCATTGTCTGGCTCAGGGCCCAGTGATGGATGCAGATATGGCTGTTTAATCAGCTGGTAGGGGAAATGTAATCCATTTGGCGTGGCACCAGGCCCAGGGCCGGCATGCAGGACCCTTTTCCTCCCCATCACATCAAAAGACTGAGACGCCCCCTTCATTCATCTCCAGGACTGCCCAGGAGTCCTGCTCATTTATGAAGTGGTGCCTATAGATCCCCCCTCTCCCTCCTCCCCAGGCCGCCTTGACCAGGCTCTGTGTGCTGCCTCTGTTCCCCCAGTCACGGGTTGGAGCTCCAGATGGGGACTCTTTGTCTGGCCCTGGGTGTGCAGCACACACCACCATTAATCCTGCCTTCTGAGAGCTCGCAGAGGACCATGGCAAATATTTGTGAGCTGCCCAAGTGTAGCGACAGAAAGAAGAAGCCGTGGGAGGAGGAGGGGAGGCGGTGAAGAGAGGTGTTGAATACTGAGGCCACGTTGAATACGGTGAAGCGGTGCCATGTGTTTACGCATGTCTGTCAGCTGCCAGCGCTTGGGTTATGTGAGCTGGTCCACTAATGGTCGGGGTGTTATGTCTCCTGTGCTGGATTACTCCCGCACCCTTTTCTGCCCGAGGACTGATTGAGTTCACACACGCACACACAGGCATGAACGCACAAGCAAGTTAGTCACATGGCGCTTATGTTTCAAGCAGTGAAGCCAACAGGCATCGACCGCACTGTCTCTCCAACCTGATGCTCTCCAAAATCTTCCCCTGGCCTCCGTCTTTTAGATATGCATGCATGCATGCATGTGTGTGTGTGTGTGTGTATTCATTTTGCTGCTTTCCTCCCGTTGCCATGAATAATGAAGGAGTAACCAGGTCAATGTGACCATGCAAAATTCAGCACAATGCAGCTTGTGTTACCGGTGAGGTAATGTGCGGCTCGCTGCACGTCCTTCAGGTCAATGCAATATCAATACACGTGAAGAGATAGCTTCGGTCCCCGAGCTTGACTGACACTGCGCAGCCTTCGCGTAGGGATGAGGTCAGCTCTGAGGTTGTGAGGTGGGGAGCAGCCAAGAGTTTAGTTCAACACAGCTGCCACCGTGCTGAAAGAGCAAACCGCTTCATCAGAAAGTTAGTGAAAGATCTCGAGGTTGGGTTCTGAGTGAGAACTACAGAAGCTGTACGGACGTAGCTAGTGGTAAACGAGTACAGAAGTTTATTTGGCAGTGACTGATGGAAAACAGGTTTGATAATTGATTAATATTCAAATAGTTTAGTAAGCAAGACGCCAAACCTTTGCTGGTTGTGGAGAATGTTCTACATGTTATACCACTGAACATTGTGGTTAGTTAGAAGTTTCAACTTGAGTGTTTCCCTGTTATACTGCGTTATAATTCCATTCCACTACATTTGAGAGGGACTTATTGACTTTTCTACTCTGCTACATTTATTTCACAGCTTTAGTCACTTCTAACATCCATCCATCATCTCTACACCTTAATCCTCACCAGGGTCATGGGGGGCTGGAGTCTATCCCAGCTGACTCAGGGTGAAGGCAGGTTCACCTGGACAGGTAACCAGTCTATCACAGGGCTACACTTAGAGACAGACAACCAAGCACACTCACATTCACACCTACGGACAATTTACAATCACCAATTAACCTCAGCATGTTTCTGGACTGTGGGAGGAAGCCGGAGAACCCGGAGAGAACCCACGCTGCACGGGGAGAACATGGAGACTCCACGCAGAAAGATCCCGGGTGTCCTCACCGGGATGCGACCCGGGGATATTCTTGCTGCGAGGCGACGGTGCTAACCACTGAGCCACCGCGCAGCCCTACTTGTAACATGTTATGGATTTATTTATGGTGGTCATGTTGTTTTTATTTCAATATGTTTGATTCAAGTTTTTATAGCGCCATTTTACAACACATGTCATCCGATAGCACTTTGGACACCTACAGAGAACAAACACAGAACCCAAGAAGTCCAAAGTTCTCTTTGGATTCCCTCTGAGCAAGCACTCAGAGATAGTGGAAAGGAACCAAAAAACCTCCCCTAAATGTTCAGATGATCTACTATGTCAGCAAAAATCAAAGGGCGAGAGTAGAAAAAGCTCAACCATTAAGCATCAGGCAAGCTCTCAGATGTCTCTGCTTTCCCTTAATATAAAAGTTTATAAAAAGCTGTTCAAACAAGCTACAACACAAAACATGCTGCTGACACGCTGATGCTTCAGCATTAATAATCTAATGATGTCACATATAATAACATATCAGCCAGAGAGACATTTTGCTGCTAATGCTGATGCACGTCTATTCGTAATGGAGTAATTATCTGAATCATTGTTCCACATGCTGGAAAAACAAGTGCCTACAACTTCTAATCCTCTACAACAGCTACGACACGACAGCGGATTAACCTGCTGTGCAAGCTGGTCACATCATGGGTATCAAGTATGTACTGCACAGGCAATAAAAGAATATAGAGGCTTAGTGTGTCATATGGACAGATGTACAACATGATACTTGGCTCCATAAAAGATGAAGATACATTTTTGTAAGGATGGGCCGCTCCTCCGCGCAATGAAAATGGATACGGGTGACTCATGCGTCGAG